ACCTTGTGACCTAGTTCTGTCTCGCCTCCACATTTTCAGACTGCGGTCACGCGGAGGAGGCCTTATAACTTCAGTAAGCCGTGGTTAGAACTCTAAAGGGTGTGTGCAATCACCTCAGTCACAAAAATGATGGGAAAAAACGAGGACAATTTGAATACTTCTTTACCACCATTACGGTTACCATGGTTAAGTCCAATCGTTCCTAATTTCAACTGCTTAGTTATTTTATCATACAGTATTAACTGTGTGTGTGTGTGTGTGTGTGAGAGAGAGAGAGAGAGAGAGTGTGTGTGTGTGTGTTGGCTTTGTATTATATGCATGTATTTAGCGTGTGTATTAAGCATGGGCGAAGTCAAGTCGAGGTTCGGAATTCGATGAATTCGAGGGGTCTGAGTCGGAGCTCGAACATTGGGCAGGAGGACGAGTCCGAACACGAATTCCCGAACTAGGGCAGCCAAGGGGGAAACGGAACACAAGGAGCGAAAACATATTTAATTTGTTCAAAACTGTGAATAATTTTACGCAAAACTGCACCCAAGAAACATTTTTGGACGCTCAAAATTAGGTTTACCAAAATAATCATGCATAAGTTTGAAAAGTATCATAAAACACGATGCCTGATTTCTATTTTCCACTCGCTGTGTTCAGAAGGAAGCGGCGAGTTCGAATTGGACCGTCCCACAATTGGCCGGATCCGTTCGACTCAATGAAAGTCACATGAGCCTTTAGAACGCGCTGATTCGCTAGCAGTTACAAATCCCTGCTGCTGGTGGTTAGGCCGTAAGAGGCCAAGGTCAAATTTACGCACTACGGTGACGGACGAGCATTGCGTCTCTGATTGCACCAATCACAATTTCAATTGAAAGATTATGGGATGCCTCGAGATGCTGCAAGCGATCTTCCCGTCTAATTCAAATCCCATTATCCCAGCCTCCTTCTTTCTTTGGCTTTCACTGCGATCATACATATTTCACTACTTTTCTTCTCTTCATTGTACTACATGTATTTTCTTACGACCTGTCTGGCACTTACATTTTCATTGTCACATTTCTTGTCTCTTTTGCATTACTCTATGTTTGTTTTCAACCTTGTATGTTTCATCTTGTCATAATAAATGTTGATTGTGATATATAGATCTAGAATCTAGATCTATTACTGTTATTTTTTATTGACTTGTGTCTTGCTGACTGTTGCTTTGATTAATGCATGGTCTGACTTTAGAGTTC